AGTCCCATGGCACTTGGAGAGATCCCTCTTTCCATTTCTAACAGATGGTTGGGGGGGGGGAAGAGAAACCTAACAGCACAGCTTGCATTCCTTATTAGTGAAAGGGAGCAAGAGTCCAGGAGCACCTTCAAGACTAACAAAATTCGTGGCAGGGGAGGAGCTTTTGTGAGTCACTGCTCACTTCTTCAGATACAGCTGGAATGTGAGTTCTTCTGTCCTTATATCTTGGAGAGTGACGTGATTTCAGACGCCAAATGACAACTAGAGAGCAATTGAGCCAACAACTTGAGATAGAGAGCAATTGCTAGCCAATTAAAAAAAATTGACAACAGCAGGTATTGGTAATGAGAGAAGAAACCTAGGTCTCCATTCAGTCCAGGAATTTGCATTGTCTTGAGCTTTGTGATCAGTTGCAATTCAGCAGTCTCTCTTTCTAATCTCCCTTTGAAATTCCTTTGTCAGAGAACTGCCACTCTTAGGTCAGCAACTGAATGCCCTGGAAGGTTAAAATGTTCCCCCACTGGTTTTTGAATCTTGTGGTTTCTGATAGTGGTAGAAAGAGTAAGAGCCCAGTAGCACCTTTAAAGACTAACAAAATTGTGGTAGGGTGTGTGCTTTTGTGAGTCACTGCTCCCTTCTTCAGACTTATTGCCATTTATTCTTTGCATCCTCTTGTACCAAATTGAGACCTAGGTTTCCTGTCTCAGTACCAATGCTGATATCTCCACACCTTTGTATATCACACCAGTGCTGATAGCTGCATATGCAATCACGCCTGCTATTGCCATTTGGCATCTGAAATCATCTTTATAAAGGCATCTCTGGTACCTTGTGTTGAAAGATGGCACACATGGCCCAGCCCGACAAAGTGACATTTATGTCAGATCCGGCCCTCATAACAAATGAGTTCGACACCTCTGTTTTAAACGGTTGTCTGTGGGAAGGGTGGTATGGAAGCCTTAATAATAACAATAATAATAACAATAACAGCAACAACAATAATAATAATATTAGCAACAGTGGTGCTGACCCACTTCGATCCAGGTGTCTCCAGAGGTCATCCGTAATGGAGTTATCCTCACAATAACCCTATGAGGTAGGTGAGGCTGAGAGACTGTGACTGGCCGAAGGTCACCCAGCCAGCTTCCATGGCAGAGTGGGAATCTGAACCTGGGCCTCTCAGATACTATCCTGACACTCTTATTCACACACCACACTGTCTCTCAGTTTGAATGGGGGTAATGGCTAGTTTATAGGGATTGTGTTCAACGGACAGTGTACCCGGATGATGATGCATGGCAATCCATGTCGCCAGGAGAAGCAAAGATCATTCAGGACCAGACTGTTCCTACCCACTTCCTGGAAAGCTACGGAATTTCAGGTGTCTGCCAAAATCTGAGCTATGAAAAAGTCACGTGTGCCCGGCTGATCCCACTTGCTGCCAATTTCTGTCATCCTTCCCATACCAGACTGATCACTGTTTTACACTGCGTGATCTGCCTTCAGTCTCCATAAGAAAGGCGGACGTATAAATGACACAAGTGAAAATAAATTGAAAATCAGTGTTTCAGTGACATCTGTGTCTGAACATGCAGTCTGATGAGAACTTACGGCAGTCTCTTTCTGCAGCTGCCCCCCTCCCCGTGCCCATCTTATTTCCCTTTACTCATCTGTGCATTTGAGGCCGTTACGAAGGAGATCAAACAAAGTCCTGAGATGCCACCTCAGTGGTCTGCCGACAAGACCTGGCTCCCACTCCTGCCTGCCCTAACCCAGTGGTCCCGTGGCATGACCTCTCTGATTCATTATCCCTATTTCTCAGCTGTTCTGCTCAGTTCAGAACTACGCTATGTTTCAGATGCATCTTACCTGGTTGTCATACTCCTCCATTTTCTTTTCGGATTCGGTGAAGTCTCCAAACTATTCAAAACACAGGGACAGAAGCAGTCAAGATGGGAAGGCAGAACATAGAATCACAGAGCTGGAAGGGACCTCCGGGGTCATCTAGTCCAACCCCCTGCATCAAGGTATTCTGGATGTTAGACATTCTATTCTTTCAGAAAGAAAGCAATAATTATAGAATCAAATTATTGCCTAAACCTGGGATCAATAACAAGGTCCCCCCACCCAAAGCTGCTTAAAAGTGGGGGAAAGTGTTAGATGCTTCATTTCCCACTGCCACTGGGTTGAATTCAGGCAGCATTTTCCATTAGTGGGAGGCGCTTCCCTGCCTTCTCTCGCTACTGCAAAGAACTGCCCCTTTGGATCCAACTCCTTTTGCAGCCCCCGTAGCTGTCCCAAGTACAGTTTGGCCCGCCCTACCCGCCTAGTACAATTACGGCTAATTTGAGGGGAAAAGGCATGAATGGGATGAGTGCATGTAAAATACTACCATACCTTAACTCTGGGCATCAGCCCTCCCCATTCGAACGTCATCTTCAGGGCTTTCTTCACTTTCCAAAGCTGGAAAACGAGATCACTACATTAATACCTTGGTGTGAAAGTTTTCTTTACTTTCAACACCATTATGGTGCAGCCACACGTGGACTACGTATGCCACTCAGTCGCCTCACGGTTTCACGGCCTTCAGCCCAAGGAGATGAGGCAGGACTGATTTTTATTTTAAACATTTCTATCAGTCCATCAGGAATGAGACAGTGGCCACAACCCCCATGAAACCAGATCGCTTTCCCCACAGAACACGGTAAAAGTTATTTCAATATTATTTGTTCATCAGGTCACCTAAGCGCTGGAAGAATGGTCAGTGGTTGCAAGCTCAGACCCATGACTTTGGAGAAATGAAATAACTTCCGAGAAGCTGTTATTAGTAACGTACGTTGAGCCCTGGGCATTTTTCCCTGACTGAGATGGCCCACACCTGAGCTGGCAGCATTATCAAGGCTTAACGTGAGAATGGGATATTCCTTCACAGCTACTTCCATGAATTCAAAACCGCAGATGCCCAAACACAAGAGGGGAAGTGGTTGAAATCGGTGAGCCTGCCATTCTTATAAAGCGGCTCATCGTGTCTAGGTTTCGTGGGAAGCTTCTTACTTTCCCAGCTTCTGCAGCCGTTAGAAACTGGCAAATGCCCGCGCGCGGGAGCCCTTCTAATTGGGCACTACGTGGGTGTGGGTGTGTGTGTGCATACGAATGTCCTATATCCTATTATGCGCATAGGTAACCCGCCATTCCTAACAGTGTTCATGTTACTGCATCTATAGCTTTTCAATAAAAGTAAAACCTTCCTAGAAGCGTGTATTTCGTTGTCTTGCTGTGGATCCTGACATCACCCCTATATGGTGGGTGACAGAACTCTCAGAGAGAAATGGCAACCAGAGCTGTGCTTCAGGGGCAGTTCTGGGGGAAATGAAGCCGACTCGCCAAATGTATAGTCCAGCACAAGGCCTATCTCTGCTTGGATTTCTCGG